GGTGGAGGGAGGGTGGGTTGGAAAGGGGGAACCGATGGCAAGGATCTTCGTATGACCTCCTCCCTGGGGGACGGACAGCAGAGGAGTGGGTGAAGGGAGATGTTGGACAGTGCAAGATATGACAAAATAATAATTTGTAAATTATTAAGGGTTCATGGGGAAGAGGAGAGGGGGTAGGGAGGGGAAAAATGAGGAGCTGATGGCAGGGGCTTGGGTGGAGAGCAAATGTTCTGAGAATGATGAGGCCAATGAATGTACAAATGTACTTCACACAGTTGATGTATGTATGGATTGTGATAAGAGTTGTATGAGCCCATAATAAAATGATTTTTTTTAAAAAGAAAGAAAACAAATGTTTTGAGAATGATGAGGGCAACAAATGTACAAATGTGCTTGATACCGTGGATGGATGGATTGTGATAAGAGTAATACGAGCCCCAATAAAGTGATTCTTAAAAGGATGGTCCCTAACCCACAGGCAGCCCAACGGGAAGTCCTCCTCTGTGCCATTGCAACCAAGCCGTCTGCAGAAAAGCACCCTCCCCGTGCCTGGCGGGGTGTCCTGAGAGAGGCTCGGGTGGGGAGCGGCCCTGGCAAGGCTCACTTTCCACTGATGAAGACGGCAAGCCTCTCTTTCCCGGCCTGCGTAGTGAACCCACACACACCCAAGAACATGTGTCTGTTTGCCTGAGGAGACACAAAATAAATGCTCAAAAGATTTTTAAGACGACCATTTTAGAGAACAGCCTGTCTCTGCTCACCTTCAGCGCCCACAGTAGCTCTTAACTTTCGACACGAAAGATTCCAGGATTGGTCGGGTTTTCCATCACTTGAAACTGCTGGCCCCCTTCCAAATAGATTTGCTTAATAATTCCTTATATGGCAGAAAACAAACACTCGCCAGGCTAGGAAACCAGTGACTGATGTGTTCTCAGCACAGGGAGCCTGCCCTGGCTGAACCCCAGGGACTCTGGTTCTTTAGCAACCAGCCAGCAGGCAAACACCAGCAGCCGACCAGTGGACTAGATCTACGATGAGCACTGAGCCGGTACCTAGCCCACTGCTTCTTGATTAGCCGTTAGCAGCACACAGAGCTAGGGCTGCCTGCTAAGTGCCAACAGAGGGAGAGGAGCCGGCCTGCTGCCTGGCTGCGATTCTCAAGTCACGTGTCCTAGGCCTGGGTTTGCTATGTGTCCCCAAAACCAAACTCACTGGCGAAACAAGGAGGGGAGAGGGAGAATGGGTAGGAAAGAGGGAACCGATCACAAGGAACTATATGTGACCTCCTCCCTGGGGGACAGACAACCGAAAAGTGGGTGAAGGGAGACGTTGGACAGGGCAAGATATGACAAAATACCAATTTATAAACTATCAAGGGCTCATGAGGGAGGGGGGAGTGGGGAGGGAGGGGAAAAATGAGGACCTAGTGTGGGGGTTTAAGTGGAGAGAAAATGTTTTGAGAATGATGTACAAATGCGCTTTACACAATTGATGTGTGTATGGATTTCGGTAACAGTTGTATGAGCCCTAATAAAATGTTTAAAAAAAAACCCCAAAAAAAACCCAAACTCACTGGCATGGAGTCCATTCCAGACTCCAGAGCAACCCCACAAGACAGGGTAAACCTGACCCTGTGGGTTTCCAAGACTGTAACTCTTCAGGAGAACAGAGAGCCTCATCTTTCTCCCAGAGAGCAGCGGGTGGTTTTGAACTGTCAACCTTGTGGTTTGCAGACAACCAGGCCACCGACCAGGACTCATTGACTCTGACTTATAAGGACCTAAGTGTACCCCCAGACGAGTCACTTTATCTCTGGGAAACATTTGAAAACTTATCTTTAAAAATATCCAATAAAGAACGTGCCGAGATAGCCCCTAAGCCCCCACCTAAAAGAACATAAGGTTTTGCTCTAAACCTCGGTCTGGTCCCTTATAACTAAAACCACTTCACTTCTTTCCGCTGTGGTTTCCTCGTCCATCCGTCAAAGGGAGATCAAGACACCACCTCTGTCAGGTCTGTGGTGAGGCGTTAGAAGCAAGACCCATGGAAGTCCCGATGGTGTGAAGGAGACAGAAGTTTGAGGGGAATTCAAAAAGTCCGTGGGAAAGGGCAGCTGATATCAGAGAGTTCAAGAAGAAGAAGAAAGGAAGATGTTTTGAAAACAATGGTGGCCGCAAGTGTACGATTATGCTTGATCTAATTGAACTAGGGATTGGTATAACATCTGTAAGAGCTCCCAACAATAAAACGAGGGGGGGGGGGGAAGTTGGTGGGGAAATGGAAAAGATCATGGGAAATGTCCACAAACTGTTGGGAGCCCCTTCATAGACGCTGGGGTGAAGCAAAGACTCTTAGACGCCAGTAGGTGGTCTCTTCAATGCTGATGCTCGGGCCCACTCTGGCCCAAAGGTGGAACAGGCAGTGGGTGAGCCCTCGGCTCCCTCCAGAGGCCACCTCCACTCTACGACCCTTATCGTCTGCACCCTGCACCGCGGGGTCACGGTCTCATTGACAAAGTTAGATGACGGTCTCCCTAAACACTGTTCAGGTTGTCCTCTTCCGACCCAGTTCACCTTCAGTGG